CAAAGGGGGCTGAAAACATGCTGGAGGAGGCACCTTTTAAAAAATAGTTCTGAGGGCTGCGGATTTAGGTCAGTGGTTCTGGTGCCTGCCTCGCAAGTGCAAGGACCCGAGTTAGATCCCCTGTACAAAAAAAAAAGTTCTGAGAACACTGGCTATCCACACATAGAAGATGGAGTCTAGACTCATATCCCTTATTATGTACTAAATGAAAATCAAAATGGATCAAATGTCTAGTGTTAAAATAGAAACACTTAATAAGCTGCAAGATAAAATGAGGAAAACTCTTGAAGATATAGTAATAGACAAGGCTTTTCTGAACAGAACCACAATTGCACAAGAAATGATATCAAGAATCAACAATGAGGGGCTGGGGATTTATCTCAGCGGTTCGGTAGCCTGCCTTGCAAGTGCAAGGGCCCGAGTTCAATTCCTGGCACCAAAAAGAAAAAAAAAAAAGAATCAACAATGAGATCATATTAAATGAAAAACCTGCACAGCAAAGGAAACAACCAAGAGTGAAGAGACAACCTACAGAACAGGAAAAAACGTTACCAGCTATTCCTTAGACAGAGGATTAATATCTAGAATATATAAAAACTCAAAAAACATAGATCCCCTAAAATAAAATACCTAATAAAAAAATGGGCAGCTGAAACAAATAGACACTTCTCAGAAGTACAAATAATTAGTATATAGGTGAAAAAATGTTCACTATTTCTGGCCATTAGAGAAATGCAAATTAAAACCACATTGAGATTAGCTCTTACTCCAGAAATAGTGTTTATCTTCAAGAAATGAAATAATAATAAATGCTGGAGAAGCTGTGGAGAGAAAAGGAAGCCTCCAATACTTTTGGTGGAAATGTAAACTAGCAAGACTACTGTGGTAATCAGCATGGAGATTCTTCAAAAACTAAAACTAGAAATTCTGTTGAACCCATGTATTTCCCTTTTAAATATCTTCCCCAAAGAGTTAAAGACATCGCATTACAGTGATCCATGCTACACATGTTGTATAAATGCGCAGTTGCTAAATCTTGGAAGCAGGCTATATGTTCATCAGAAGACATATGGATAAATAAAATGCAGTATTTGCACCCAGTGGAGTACTACTCTGCCACAAAAGAAGATAAATTTGAGTCTTCTATGGGAAAGCAGATGCACCATACAATAATAATTTTAAGTGAAGTAAATCACATGCACACTCTTAAATATCACATGGCTGCTCTTATATGAGAAATCCAAAATATGAGTAAAATAAAAGATAAATATTAGGAAGTGGAAAGATAGATCTTTTTGCAGGTGAAGGGAGGGGCACGGAGGGGAGCAGAAAATGATGAATAACGCATTAAGATGTGTTATGTACATGTACTTCCCTCGAGAAATGTAATCATTATATATACTGAAAACATGTATTCATAAAAAATAAAAATTGATATATTATAAAGAATATTACCTGTCTACTACAGATATGTATTAGGGTTATGGTATGGTATCCGGGAGCACAATGGATTGAGATAATGGATTTAGAGAGGGAAGATGATCAGGAGTCTATAGAAGGGTGTGGCATTCAAGCTGGTGACAAGGGAGGTGAAGGCGTAAGATGGGCTGAAGACCATAAAAAGGCCCAAGCAAGTTGTTGCAGAGGTTACTAGAGGGAATGAGCTGGAGATACAGCGAAGGCAATGTGCTGCCACGTCCTCTTTTCTTTCTCCTCTTAAGTAGTTGCTTTAAATTCTATGTTATTTCCTCTTAGATATTTGAGTATGTTACTCTAATTTCCACTTTTTATATCCTGTTCTTAAAAGTTAATTTTTTTCCATATGTTTGTCTTTATAATTTTTCTCTTAGTCACTACTCTTATTTCAGAAATAGATGTGGGTTAAAGTATTTTATCTTGCTTTCAACTCTGATTTTTCCTATATGCAAGTTATATCTTTACATTTTAAAATTACTGGAAATTATTATTCTTAGAAATGGTTTGTTCACATATTGCTTCATTGTTTTTATTTTCATATATAACCCCAATATGAACTCCAGTAAAACATGTTTTCATCTTGCTGCTGTGTTGTGTAGTATCCCTGCCATTTTAAATAAGAAATCCTTGGACTCAGAATTTTAACTACTGACAGTAAGTGATTCTATTTTTTCTAGATATTTATCTATAATAACACTTTGAGGTGTTAGCATAAGATTTTAAATATGCCAATAGTATTACATGAGAATTTTATGATAAAATTAAAATACTTTAAAAATTACATGTATCATAGTTTATTAAAAATAGGGGAAGAACAAAAAGGGAAAAGAAAAAAATGTGAGAGAATGAAAAGATGAAAATAAAGTGTTTGTAGATGGGGAGGGGAGGAGGGGGTGAAGGGAGGGCAGAGGTAAGGGGAAAAAAATGAGAATCAAGACTTGCCATGTAAAGGTACATGATCCCAACAATGAATGTAACTGTACTGTATCCCTAAATGTACCAATAAACTCAATAATAAAAAAAAAAATAGTTACTGGTGAGAGACAATATACAAGTAGACAATGGCCAGATTGTGTATAAAAATGAAACTCTGAGCCATTACTTGCTCACCCAGCTCAGAGGGCCAACACAATTTTACAACAACTAGTCCCGGACACCAACATCAACCCCGTAGCAATTGACCACCAGTATCCAAGACCTGATTGCCAACTTGAGTGGTAGCTGATAACTTACCTAATATTTGCTGTACATTTCCAATTTAAGAGTAACCAGAGAAAGATGAATATATATGCTACTAAGCAATCAAATCAACACCTTGCTTCTAGTCATCCTTATAGCTTCACCATGGCAAATCTTCACCTGGGATCTACTACTTTCGCACCACCCTGGCTTCCTTTAAGTCTCTGCCAAATGCAAATGGTGGACGACTTTCTTGCTACTGTAAGCTCTGAATAAAGTCTTTGCATGTTTTCATTTTGATGATTTTGTTTGTTTTTATATTAATAAATGAATTTAGATATAGATATAGAGTTCTGGTTGCAAATTCCAGAGCCTAATTACTACAGAGCTCTTTAAATCTTGGCCAAGCACAGCTAGTGAAAACATTTCAACAATCAAATTTTACATGTAGTGTTTATGTTTAAAGTCTTTATATGTGAGTAATTAATGCATTGCTTAGGATACTGTAAGCACTAATACCAGCAATATACGTTTTCAGTCTATTTTGAACTGATAAATAAATGTATTAAAATTGTGTTATACTGGGTAGTTTGTTAAATAAGTATATTTTGACTGTTCTTGTCACAGAAAAGTAATAATGTGAAGAAACAACACTTAATATGCTTCTCTATAAAACTATCTATCCCCCCTCTCTCTATATATATGTCCCATAACATTATATTGTAAAGCTCAAATATATAAAGCAAAATTTATTTTTCAATAGAATACTTATACATGCAAGTATATACACAAATATGTATTTGAAATACAAGGGAGTTTGTTGAATAAACATATAGATATTCAAGCCTGAAGCTCAGAGAAGAAACCAATACTAGAAATGTAAGTTTGAGAGTCACGAACAAATGCATAGCATAGTTGAAACAAAGGAAGTGAATGAAAGTATGAAATAAAGAAGATATACAAAAGCTGAGCCTTGAGAATTTGAAAGATTTGTTTAGTGGCTAGAAAGAGATAGAAGAGTCAGTAGAAATTTTCTGAGTTGAGCAGTTCTTAAGAAATTTTGTCTTGACCAGGCGTGGTGGCTCACGCCTGTAATCCCAGCACTTGGGAGGCTGAGGCAGGAGGATCGCTATGAGTTCAAAACCAGCTTGGACTATCTAGTGAGTTCCAGGTCAGTCTCAACTACATAGTGAGACCCTGTCTCAAAAAAAAAAAAAAAAAAAAATTTTGTCTTAGCTTTTCCTCTTTGTAGCATTGGCTAAACTCTATTGCCAAAGTTGTGCTCATAGGGTAGTACAGACAGGCTTGAATGTATCTTCCTTGTTAATTATTGACAGTCAAAGCCACAATGTAGCTACAATTATCTTCTTTGGATATTTCTCAACAATCTTTTGAATTGGATGTTCTAACCAACCTCTGAAGGAACTGTGAATAATTTAATTTCTTTAATATTACTATCTGCTCAATCCTTCTAATCTTATGAGCCTGTTTCAGTCTATTTTGTTACTATAACAGAATTCCACAGGCTGAGTAATTTATAAAGAAAAATTTGTCTATGACAGTTACAGAGGATGGAAATTCCCATACAAGATAATGGCATCTGTCAGTGTATTCTTGCTGTATCATTTTGTAGACAGCAAAGGCAAGGAGAAAGAGAGGCACTCACTTTTCTAACATGACCTTGCTTAGGAAAAAGATGCCCTTCCTGTGTTAGTAATATTGACCTGTTCATGAGGACACAGCCTTCTGTCCACTTTTTAAGGATCTCAGGGCTGTGGCTTTAAGCATTAAATTTCCAGTTCATCAACACTAAGGGGTGTATTCGAGCCAAAGCGGTGCCTGCGAACATGTGGTGCAATCCCAGGTACCACAGAAACGTTACAGCATAAAAACACTGTAAAGTTTCATGGCAGGCACTTAGTAATAACAACGTCATTTAACCTACCAGCAACAACACTCTAAAAATCATCACTGTAGAGATTATTTCTCATTCATTTTCCTTCACAGCACAAAGTCATATGAACAAGAAACAAAAGTATTCCTTGAAACAGACCCACATATCCAAGTACTTTGACCAATATTTTCACTTCTGATACTTTATGTAGCTTTGGTAACATTGTATAACCCTTTACAAAAGGCTTTGAGACCTGACAGGATATGTGCTATCCCTGGGAGAGGACGATGGATAATGACAGAGGTGCCTGCAGGTCATTAGATGATGTCTCAATTGAGCAGCTGTTGTTTTTAGCATGGTCCTGTGATTGGCTAAGAAAAGATAGCACATGACTGACTAACCATGTGAGCAAGAACCCTGCTGAATTGCTGGTCAGACTGAAAGTGTTAAGACCTGGGAGGAGGATGGTGACTCTGCATGTCCTCCACCTGGTTTGAATCTCGTAGGAAAGATTCCAGAGTTTTTATTCCAAGAAAATTTCCAACAGCTGCCAGGAAAAGAAGCAGATGTTACCTAATGACAGAACCATTTCAAGATTACAAGCTACATGGTATGAAAACAATAGTTAAAAGAATGAATGCATGTTTTAAGGTCCATTTGTTTTCCTTCTTTATGCTCTATCAAACTTTGTTATGGTGAAATTTTTTTACAAGTTTACTTCTCATGTTATTTTTAACCTCTGTGATGTTCAAATTTTATTCTTTCTGCTTAAACCTTAAATGAGTGCTTACACATTTCAGTGTATTGTTAGGGAGTGTACTTCCAGTCAATTTAGAAATGTCTTGGGAGGTTTATAATGGCATTTGTTTTGTTTGAGCGGTGTGTTCGGTGCTCTTCAAAGTTTGCACCATCAGGAGCTGGAGATTCCTGAGATTCTCCTGGGTTGCTGAAGTCAAAACTATTTCATAATAATGCAAAGATATTATTTGCTATTCCACTCTGTTAGCACTTGTACTGACAGAGCAAAAAAAAAAAAAAAGTATAACTGCTGATACCGTAGTGTGAATTATAACAAACAGAGTATCAATTAGTGAGAGTAAGCTGCCAAGTGTCATTTTATTTGTTGCTTCTAAACAGTCATAAAAAAATAAAAAGAGTTTCTATATTACTTAGGACTGTCCTTGATGGAACAGTACAGATTGTTACTACACATCTACATACTAAAGTACCACAAGTGATTGCCTTGAAGAAAGTTCTTAACATTTGAGTTGAAAGAAAAAAATAGCTATATAGATTTAGCATCATTTTTTTCTTGAACAAATTCCTCACAAATCATGGTTGTTTTAGACTTAAGTTTTTGGCGGACAGTTTTTAAAATTTCCATTTATGTATTTATTCATTTTTATGAATGCATATTTGCAGTACATGATGTTTACATACCCTGTGTGGAGTTGGTACGTGTGCATAACACACCTTAAGGTTTTTTCAATCCCTCCCCCCTGCATCTCATGATCCCATTTCCTTTGAGGAAGATCTATCTTCCTTCTTTCTAGCTGAGTCAATGAGATTTACAGGTTTAGTTTATTGAGGAATATCCATGCTGCTCTCCACAGTGGTTGCACTACTGTACATTTCCACTGAACAGTGTAGAAGAGTATCTTTTCCCTTCATAGCCTCACCAGCTTACTTTTTACATCTTCCTTCCTTCCTTTCTCTCTCTCTCTCTTTCTTTCTTTCTTTCTTTCTTTCTTTCTGAGACAGCATCTCATTGGGTAGTCTAGTCTGGCCTTGACCTCGCTCTTTAGCCCAGGCTGGCCTTGAACTCACAGCAATCCTCCTACCTCAGCCTCCTGAGGGCTGGGATTACAAGTGTGTTCCATCATACCTAATCTTGTTTGACTTCTTGATGAAGGCCATTTTTTTCTGAGATGAGATAGAATCTCAGTGTTGATTTAATTTGCATTTCTCCAGTGGCCAGAGATATTGACTATTTCTTCATGTACTTATAGTCATCTGTACTTCTCTGGAAGTGACTATTCATTTCATTTGCCTGTTTTTTCTGTTTTTTGTTTTTGTTTTTGCTTTTTTTTCTTTTCATTTGTCTATTTTTTTTATTGGATTTTATATTTTGAGGGCCTAATTTCTGTTGTAGTCTTTACATATCCTAGACATTAGTCCATTGTCTAAGGAATAGTTGGCAATTTTTTTCCTATTCTGTAGGTTTTCTTTTCACTTTGTTGGTTGTCAAAATTAATAAGTAAGCCTTTCATTTCAAGGAATAAAACAAACAGTTCTTGTTAGTGATACATGTCAGACTCTCAGGTAAAAATTACAATTGTTAAAAGCTTCTATAACACCTTGTAAATGTGTCAGCTTTTCAATACTTACAGATTTTTTTCATAATGGAATTATTGTTTTGTTATTATTGTGTAAAAGAATGTGTCAATATGTGGGAGATCTGCATGATTATGGGAATTCAGTGAGCTGATACTCTATGAATTACACTGTGCATGACATAACCAGATCACACGTGGTAAAAGATCCACTCAAGTGAGACACAGATAAATGGGTTTTAACATAACAGTAAAAAAGGACTGGGGAAGGATCATAGTGACATGGGCCTTCCCTATTATGCCTAAGGCCCTGGGTTCAATCTCTAGAAGCCTCCTACTCACCCAAGCAGAAAACAGCAAAAACCAATTTCATTGATCTGACTTCAGATTCTATTCCTCATTCCAAATACATATGTGCATAAAACAGGATTTCCTTAAAATCCATCAATTAAGACAACACATTAAAATTTAGTGAATTCTGAAAGAGAGAGACACACAACAGAACTGATAATTATTTGGAAACTGTATCTGTAAAATTAAGATTTGACAGTTATGTAATTATTTTTTATGTCAAATAATTTAAATATATATTTTAAATTTCCTCATCTAAATGTCTAATATGGTAAATATCAATAGGTAACTTGTATAAACTGTAGCTCTTTGGGGTCCACAATAATTTTAGAAGTATGAGAGGGGCTTGAAACCAAAACACATGGATAACTCTAACTTACTTCTTTACAAAAGAGAAGTCAGTGGTAACAGAAGAATTAAATAATTGGATATTAATTTATCAGAATTAAAGCTAGATTAAATATATATAACTACGTATAAGCACAAAAGTCTTACCTCTTTCATTCAGTGACTCAGTCCATTCCATATTGAACATATAATAGCTGTGCAGATCAGAAGCTTTAAAAAAATGCAATGCTTGTGCTCTGGGTGGCATTTTTTGTCTTCATTAATGCCTATCTCTTAGCGACAGGGATTTAATATTTCAGTTGCTTCCACAGTGATGCTGAGGATCTCCAACAGTATATAATTCTTGATTATCAGAATTTTGATCATAATAAAAATAGTCCTTTTCTTTTCCTTGATCCAGCCATTAAAATAATGAAATTATAATTACTTTAGAACAGAAAAAGGTATCAAAAATTATATAGTCCAAATTTTCTTTGGGAAGAGATGGAAACAGGTTCACAGGCAGAAAATGTTAATGTGGTATGTAGCTACTTCTGGAATAAGAAGCTGGATTCCTACTCAAATTTTCTTTTAACTATCCTGATAATTTTTCCCTATAGATTTTTACTTTCTGTTACATATATAATCTTTGATCTTGAGGGATAAATATTGAATTACTATTTTATAGCAATTTCCTAGTCTTAATTTTTGAAATTTTCACCTACTCCTTCAGCCCACCAGAAGGGCCCTATGTGTTATTTTAAGCTAATATTTTGAGGTATTAAATTAAAGATTGAAAAATTCAAAGTTGAAAGTCAAATTTAGCTTAAGTTTGTATTGCCCTGGTTGCTGGTGTGACATACATTTTATATATGAAATGGCCATTTAAACTGGTCCTTCTGAGGAATTATAGAAACTCTACCAGAAAAATGCATACACACTTCAGCAGTTCACCAATATGAGCATCTCTTGCAATTGTAGAGTCCAAAGGTAACTCACATTAATTCCATGATCACTCAGTAAATGTAGTATTAAAATATTTACACAAGGTCTTCTTTTCCTGTAAGTGTGTATATATTTTGTGGTGGATTCAGTAGATCAAAAATATTTGAAGAGCTATGATTTGAAAACACTCTGAAGTTCATGAGTAAAGGAAAAAATATTGTTCTGCATTTCATAGTTAGGACAAAACACCTAACATATACAATTTAAAGGAGAAAATGGCATATTTTGTCTTTTCACATCAGAGATTTCATCCATAGCTCCGAGGCAGGACACCCACTGTGAAAGGGATGGTGGAGGAAGCAGAAAGAAAGGGAAAGAGCCAGAGAGAAAGGGGCAAGGACCAGACATGGCCCCAGGGTCTCACTACCATAGCCCAACCAAACATGCCCAGAGGGGCCCTTTACCCATTTCCTGGAGTTTTAAAAACCAATTCATTTGATAATCACTAAGATTAACCAATCACACAAGTTGGAGTATTGTAATCTCCAGGTTTTCATGTTCCTTCTTTCACTTTTTTCTTTTTCTTTTAAATTGTTTTTTAATCACTGTCTTCTCTTCTATAGTCCTTAATTACTCATCCTCTTTATTACCTTAAAACATTGTATAAATTTTCACATATTAAAAGAGATTACACTAGGTAAATAATTGTATGTTGCCAGCTTCACATATAAAATATTTAGCCTTGCATAAATGTGCCTCTTTTGCAACACTTTCTCTACACACTTTATCTTCTCTTTAAAATGTATGTAGTTTTCTCTACACAGGTCTTGAACATTTTTAAAAATATTACTCAAATATGGTAATATTTTTGTTTTTTTGAGATGGTTGTGGCAGTGGTTATAGTTGGATAATACTGATAGTTATTAAATTTGTTTTGTTTGTATTTTTAATCAAGTCACATTGAACTATTTTATGATTTTATCAGTTTTCCTCTTAATTAGCTTGGAATTTTTATGAAGAAAATCACTTTTCCTATAGTTTTTAGTGATTTTTATCTACCAGACTTTAATAGCTCCATGTTCCTTTCTTGCTATCACCTGATATATACACCTTTAAAGCTTGTAGAAAAGTTTTAAGTATTATTCTAATTCCTTATTTTAACAGTAAAATGATTTAGAGGAAATTACAGCATAAATTAATACTGACTAGTAAAAAGTGAACTTTCAACCAATACCCACTATTACCTTTGGAAGCTAGTCTGGGTCATACATTAACTATTACTTTATGCAGAACTAAGAAACTAAGTACATTTGCAGGTTTGGTTTATCAAATAAAGTCTTGAAAGTTGTATAATCATGATTAAGTCCCTGTTTAAAACTGGCTTTATGCTAAATCAAAGAGTAAATAAGAAGGGATAAATCCCAATATTTGATACATGGCATTAAGCATATATTCCTTATCTTAGTACTAATTGAGTATCTAACTGCAGCTTTTATAAGGAAATACTGTCCAGCGATGATTGTACCATGAGTGGTTTCATTCATGAACTATGGGCATAAAGTGACTCTTGCAGTGATGGGTACTGGAATTATGTATAGACAGAGAGCTAACTAAAGAATTAGCGCACTTACTGGAGACAAATGACACAAAACAA